AGTGAGTATGGTTTTTACGCCGCTTTTAGCAATATTCCGGCAATATCACGGCGGGGGACACCAGAAATGGGCTTCACACATTGTACCCATGTCGGGAATCGAACCCGGGTCTTCGGCGTGACGAGCGAACGGAAAGGCAGCTTTAGAAACTGGCACTCGTCTTGTAGTCCTTGCCAAACTGCCCAATAGTTAAGGTATCATAAGGACTAGTACAAATTTGCCATTTTCAGGGGTTTTGCTATATGTTATCATTATAAGGACTAGTGGACTGAAACTGTTAGTTTTTAACGCTGGAAAGGTAATGCCTGGGCCATGACGCCGCAACAAAAAGGGTAGAACAACAGGGTTGCGGTAGCGCGGTCATTCAGATTTCCCTCTACCACTATCAAACGAGTCCTCTGTCTTGCTGTAATCCCACCCCATACCATAATGCTGCCGCCCCCGAACCGATCTTCTTCCATGACACAATGATTGACGTAACGTTCACCTCGACGTCGGTACACTCCAATCCGTCCACAGCTGTGGCTGAGGTGAAAACGAGACTCGTCAGTGAATAGAACTTGTCCCCACTGCATGGCCGTCCAGCGTAGACGCTTTCTGCACCACTGTAGACGTGCTTGACGGTGGTTTCCTGTCAAAATGGGACGTCTGGCGGGTCTTCTGGCGACAATCTCTGCAAATCTGAGGCGACGACGTACGGTTTCATTTTTCCCTATCATTTACCTTGATGATTCGAATCCGCAAAGTCCTCACCGAAGGCTAACAAATGTAGTCTTCTGCCATAGCGACAGGGAAGAAATTGTATGAAATTAACACTTAATAACAGCTAAATACTTACATATTTACTTATATCAGAACTATGAACTGTGAAATATGTGTTTTATGAAGTACATTTTATGTTACACTAATTATCATGATTATGCATTGTACGTATGTGTGATTTGGAAGCTTTTTGTTCAACGAAAAGAACAGACATTACTATTATCTTGATCAAGGCTATGTTTGCTCATGATAGGCACATCAACATGGGAAAGTAATATTTAGGACTTTCAGCTGATTGATAAATGTGCTGGAGTTGGTCCAAAATAAATGGTATACTTGCCCTAGACATGCATTTCATAACCGGAGTCAACAAAGTGTGAGGTGCATGTTGTGAAAGACTCGGGGAACATATTTCCTGTGCATCACGCAGGGTCAACTCACAGAGTGTTCTCACAGTTAAGCATAATAGAGTTCCTGGATATATTTGAAAATACTTTCAACAAAACAATGTTTTTAAGCATTTTAGTTGCTATGAATGTTGGCCATGGCTTAAATAGGTTACTCAGTTAGACCACTCTGATCCTGATTTTTATCGCATCAGGATTTAACCGACCATATCAACTATTAAACATTGAATCCTTGTGGCCTAACCTAACATATTTTTCAAAGCAACACAACCCAATTCTCTCACTTCGTACTACAAGTAATGACCACACAACTAATTTTACACAAAGATACTGGCTTGTGACATCTTGCCATTTGTCAGTCATTTCTTCCCAAAAATGCAACTCAAAAACCTAATTTAGCTATTGTACGAAAAACGCATAACCTGTATATATCGCATTGTCAATAGCATGAACATGGTGTTATAGACAAGCATGTGTAAACTGAATTTTGTGAATATTGGTTGAAGCCAATTGGCAGACGATACAATTCTTAATTATTGAGTGTGATAGCAGAGATAATTAAATATCTGCATAACCGAAGCGATAAGCCTGATCATGTGGTGTTTAAACGAGGACGTTAACTGCCACAGTTAGTCAACAGGAAAGTTCTATTTCCAGCTTTGATTCTCGTCTCGCTTTAACAAAAGCTACACAAACTTTTTCCATGACAGAAATAAACATATTTAGTTTCAGAAACAAAGTTATTGGTACAGTCAACTTTAAAAACAGACTATTTCAGAAAAAAACATGAAAAAATGGCGATAACTGGTCGCCACCAAGTTCATGTATTGTGTTGTCCTGAAGCAAGATGCTGAATGCCAAAGTCAGTTATATATTCTAACCATATCTCAGAGATATGTAAATAATTCAGTATGAACCAAATTCAGTAACTGGAAACATGAACAATATACCATGACACACTGTCAACTAAGTCAATGATCCCGACCAACTGACAAGTGAATACGGGGCAATTCTACCTCTTGATGTCCCATTGGGGCTATAAAAAAAATTAATAACACAGAAAAGTATTAACACCATCCCAGTGGCAGAAATTGGCACAAGGCATAGTCCTTGCCAAACAGTATATGTATAATAAGCACTAGAAGAAATTTGCCAATTTTATGGGATTTGCTATATGTTATCATTATAAGGGCTACGAGACTAAAAAGGTTAGTTTCTATTGCTGCCATCCACTTTGTGGCTTTAGTCTGGCTGGCTGTATTCCAAATCATTAAAAAGGTGCTCTGCCCAGGGATGTCATAGTGCTTCATAGTAGAGGGATCATGGGGAACAGCTTTATGTATGAAAATGAATTGAAAAAAAAATTTGATTGGTAAGTACTACATTGAGAGAAATTCGGGTATAAAGTCGTTGCCAAAATACCCAATAGTTGTGGTACCATAAGGAAGGTCGTAATTTGCAATTTTAAGGGTTTTACGAAATACGTTTTGGTAAGAGTTCTTATTCAATTCGGAATAAAGGTCCTTAACGTAACCTGTTGCAAACAAAGTCTACTAGCCTGCTCCCAGTTACACAAAGCCACCGTAGCTTTATGACTGTCCATACGAATGGGAGTTACCATAGTCTTAGCGCCACAAACTCTTTGAGGAACGGGGCCCCTGAACTTGTATCTAAAGATAATTTTCAGTTTATATTAGTTCTATTATGTGGATTATTATTACCTGAGCTTACAAGGCCAAACAGAATTTTACTAGACACAGGCTATGGGCTAGTGGCTAAAGACTGCTCAACATGACTTGATCCAATGTCAGTTGAAATTTGCAAAGGATTGCAATTTAGGGCAAATATCACAACATACACTTTTTGTTCTGCACAGTATATATCACACTGCATGAATGAATTCATCTTCCCGAGGCAAGGATGTTAACTGACTATAACTGACTATAAAAGTACAGTTTCCACCCATGCTGAAGTAGGTGGAACGAGTCTATGCATGGTCCAATCAAATTCGCGTAACGAAATTGACATCTGGTTTGTAAACTGCCATGCAGATTTCAGTCGGTAAACTGCCATGCAGATTTCAGTCAATGACAGGATTTGCATCAACAGATGTTTTCCAAATCTTTCAGTTTTTAATATAGATGCTCACATGATTTGATGCACTTCGCCAATTAGACCTGTTTTATCATCATACAGATTTTGATTATCGTTCAGATCGTCTTGACTGGGCGTCCCTATTGTGCTTGAAGCAAATGCAAGTGATATGAGAGTGGAATCTGATTGGTCAATAGGATGGACGTAACTCATAATAGCTACTGGTGGTGCTACGATTGAGCCTAGAAATTTCAGTCTATTTCAGCAAGGGTGGAAACTGGAATTTTACAGTCCGTTAAATCCTTTGCCTTGGGAAGATGGAATGAATAGGGCAGGATTTTTGTTGTTTAAAACAGCACTCAGCAATAGTCCAGCCATAAGACGACAACCTGTAAATAATTGATCTGGACCAGACAATCCAGTGGGTGATGTTATGAGCAACCATACATGTCACTGGAACATGATGATAAGCCATCGTGTCTGACCACTCGATCCATAAGTTGCCTCTTACCACCTACATAAGTTGCTGGGGACAAATAATTCTCATCCAGGGTTTCCTTCGACACAGTTTATGTTAAAGTACGAGAGTTACTATCACCTTAACGCAAAGATTCCTTTGAATCCACCACAAGGTGAATTGAGAGTAAGTAACGAAGTCGGCTAGTCAGCAATATCTCACATGCATATTTCAAATGATACCATGGGAAACATTCGTGACCATATTCCTAAAACTTAATATCACCATTTGCAACAGAACATTACCTATTGTAAATCATCTAACAACCTACTTAGTAGTATAGACGATGGGGATCTCATAGTGCTTCATAGTAGAGGGGTAAATAAACCTAAACAAGAGAATCTCTACAACAATCTTTGCCTTTAACACTTGTGTACCACCACATATTAAGCGATAAGGATGTTTCAATACTATAGTGAATCCTTAAAACCCAAGACACCTACATATAACTAACGATGAAAAGTATCCAATCTGTAGACCGAGTGATAGGTTAGTATAGAAATGTGGATGATAAATATTAATAACATGCATATATATGTATGTGTGTATGCATTCCATTTCATGCTTTGCATGTGTGTAAAATAGAATACAGAGCTCCAGATAAGCTTTTGGTGTTGTGGGTATTTTCCCATGCATTTTAAAATCATTGGGTATCAGTAATTCTATCTGCGTATTCAAATTTCTGTTACCCACTAGTTTTTACACATGTGGGTATTTAAGTTAAATATTTAAAAACACTATTCATCCAGTCCCTGCAAACTGGTGCCGTGTGGGTTCGAGAGCTTTATAGGACTCAAAAATACCACGATACTTCCACACGAAAGTGTGATGGCAAATGATCATGATGTAACTGTCATCGTGGAGTTTGGCAAGGTTGACGGAATGCCCGTTTATAATTTCAAAATAAGTTGCTGATTTGCGAATCGAATACGCAGGGTTACTTCACAATATTTTGATGATACGCACAAATTTTATTTTTGTAGCGTATCTGTAATGTTTGTTGCGTATTTGATACGCTTGGATTATATTTTACTGCCTATTTCTGCATTTCTGATGCGTATTTCACGCAGATACGCAGATTATCTGGAGCTCTGGAATACTTTAGAAGAATTGTTGCATGTGTGAATCTATGATTTGCACTGTTGTCCTTTATCAGCATCAAATGATCAAAACAATACTCCTTACCAAACAAAAGTAGTCACAGGACACTGAATTCTCACCTGTAGTTCACACCATGCCACTGCTACTCCATTTTCGCTATCCAATCCTTTGAACACTGTTTTGAAAGAACCACGGCCAATCTCAATATCAAATTTAAGAAACCTTCCACCCGGTGAAGATGACAACGGATTTTCCTCACTCTCATCCTTCCTTTTTTCACCTTCTTTTTCTTCTTCTTTACGTAATTTGAAATCAGCTTCAAGCTGTAACCTCAAAGCTGTATCACTATCTATGGAAACACTCTGATCAGATATACTAACATCAGGGCCATGGCTATCTGCATCATTCACATACATGACATTACTCCGACTGGATAGCGCTGAACGCAATTCTTCCGTGACAGCATTACTTTCTACATTATCAATTTTAACACTTCTTTTTACAGGTTTAGAAGGTTCACTGATAAAACGATGATATCGAACAGGTGTTGAACTGTTGATCTCAGTGTCCTTCCCAATAGTTGTTGAAGACTTATCAGGTTTGATCACCAAACAACGTTCCTCTAATTTGTTTTCCTGACTTTGAGCACTGGTATCCTTTCTTTGCATTGATCTAATTCTGTTGGAAAGATTCTCATTTGAACCGTCTTTTAAATTTTCAGTTGACGACCTAGTCCTAGCTTTACTATCTTGTTTGACGGTAATTTCTTTCACTTTGGGATTATCAACATTTGACACTTCCTTTTCCTCAATACACGCAGATGATCCTGGTAGACTTGATGATCTATCCTTTTTCAATATTTCATCTTTTGCTTCCACATTGCTAACCACAAATCGGCTTGTCTTCTTTCCAATAGTCTTCTCAGACTGCAAAGACTTGCCAGTTATATCATCGGATATACACCTCCTGTCCCTCTTAATTCTACTTCCTGTTGAGGACCTCTCATGGCTTATCCGCTCTGGAGACTGTTTATTCCCATTTGCTCGTCTGTCTACTTTACGAATACTGAATTTCTGACCCATGTCACCAGAACCTCTCTTTCCCTTATTCAAGAAGACAGGGGACCGTGTTGACTTTCCCGTTTCCCCTGGTCCATCATGTGCTTTATCTTGGGGCATGTCTAGAGATCCATTTACAGTCTGTTCAAACTGACCTTTGTTCATTTTGAAATTCCAGACAAACCAAAATAACTCAAAATGTAAACAAAGGCTAAATAAATAAATCATGTAACAGTCTGTACCTGATGTACTGAATGGTCAGTCCCTTTCTGTCACTCGTGTGTGCCACACAGAAGACAAACCGAGTCGGGGTTTCCTCATCTAACTTCTCCATCGTGATTTCATCCGGAATCACACTATATCCGAGACAGATGTAGATTATAAACAACCAAAGAATAATACACTATTATTCAACTCGTCGATCCTTTTCGGCGAATGAGAAGAATCAAATACTCACAGTTTCTCGCTAATGCGGAGGTTTCGATATAGGCCTACAGGCATGATCGCCTGTCAAAACACCTTCTGCGGATTCGGCGATGTATGTAATATAGCCATGGTTGTAAGTCTGCCAAGAAGATGTGTGGAAAATGAATATTCACGTTGGGTACACTCAGCAATGTTCAAACAGTCTGGAAAGGCTCCAGCCATCCTATTTTCTTGTACTTGTTTTACATGTCTGATAGAGCTCGCTGGATATCGGTCAACAACAGCACTAAAATATGTTGATGTAATTGCCTTCCACGATTGTTAGGAAGCACAATATCCCCTCAACACAAAGGCTGGTGATTGTGGTACAATTCCCAGTCATGGGAACAAGTCTGGATCCATCGGTTCACTCATATTTTCGAAGATCTAGTCACAGTTTTGACACTTATACACCTTCGTCTTCTCGATACAATGGCGGCTGAGTCCCCTGTAAACTGAGATTGCGAAAGTAGTGCGTTAGCGTTCACGTGAATTATCAATATGAAACACTAAATCACACAAACAACATAATAACTATACGGATTCTGTTTAAGTCACATATAAGCGTGTTGTCAATTTCATATTTCACAAAAACTGGAATCCTGCTAACTACTTTTGAAAAAAGGAACTATTTCTCGAGAGGCGTAGAGGTTGTGAAACGTCGGATATCCGTCTGGGAAGCAGACGAAAGCATTCAGAACAGTCTGACCTCCGTGGAAGAGACTGGTTAATAGTAGTGGCTTCATGCCGAGGAAAGAAAATGAAATTTCCAGTCTGACTCAGAGACCTATTTATCGAACAGATATTGATCTAGAGCTGATGTCTGGATGTGTTTATTGGAAATGTGTTTTCCTCAACACATTTATGAGAAAAACTCGCGCAAAATGCACCTTGGTCATATAATTATGTTGATTTCACACAAACCGGATTCGACTGGTTCGATCTTATGTTACACATTGTGAGACTAAGTACGCTCTCCCATCTGCAGGAAATCTGGACATATGGCTGCTGGTGACACGTGGATGTAAAATAGATTACAGTTTGTCTGGTTGTTCTGTTCACATTCCTTTAGCTAAACGTGAAGTATCCGTATTTAGATCTAGCGTGGAGGTTCTCAAACTGCAAGGGACAATGCCGACCGGATTTCAAATAATTAAGAAATGCTTTTAGTTTTGTTATTTATGAATATATTCACAAAATACAATTAATATATTTGCACCTCATTATATGGACTGAATATTTAATTACTCTATCGGCATATTGGATTACAAGACATCGCCCCCGTGAAATGCAACTTGTATACTACTCACCAAGTGGAGTGGGAGAATTTAATGCAGAATATATATTAACGCCTCTTCATGAAAGTAATTATGTATCTATATGCAACACTGGGCGAAATTAAATGTAGAATTTTCGAACACACTTTTCATAATTCGACTTTACTTGATATAAAAAATTGAAAAAGAAAACATTTCTTATCCCAAATTTAAAAAATAATGCTCTTAACCATTTTTATATAATCCTAATTATAATTGAATATACACAATAAGAAATGTTTTAAAAAGTGATGTATTTGTGATAGATATCAGAGTAATGAAACACTTCCGACAGATAGCAGGAGACATGCCTTGTACTCATGATACTGTTTGATATAAACAATAAACTTTTTATAGATATGTTCTTTCATATATTTAAAATATTTTCTGATTTAATTCCTCTTCAAACTATCAATACAGCTTCATGGTCAAACAGTTATATATAACATATATCGACGGACCATCAATACAGCTTCGTGGTCAAACAGTAATATATAACATATATCGACGGACTATCAATAGAGCTTCGTGGTCAAACAATGATATATAACATATATCGACGAACCAATACAGCTTTGAGGTCAAACTTATATATAACATTTCAAAAGGTCACGATGACATAAGTAATGATAAACGGACAGTATAAGTAGATTGGTTGTTATTAGACTGATATGTAAGCTTCCGAAAAACTAATTCACTATTACGCCACGTGGTGCTGCGATGCCCAGTGTATTGAAGTGCGCGGTATTCGGCTACCTGCTAAGTTAGCCATTAAGGATAATTAAATATATGTTTATTGCGGGATCGAAATTACGTAACAGTATTTACCTCGCATAATGCAGTCTCGGATGTCTTGCAAATAAACACCTAGTTCGCTAATGAACTGCATTGCCTGAGCGATCAACAAACAAGTTGTACACGATACGCCGCGACTGTGAACCCGCAACAGTTCTAGGTCAGCGAGAACAATTATTCTCTTTCCGCTTTAAAAAAGGGGAGAATTCAATCGGTGTAAGACCAATCCCCTCCCCCCACTGCACCCCGACTACCCGTTACTTTAATGACAAGACGGCCTTTACGTACCTATAGTTTACATATACATTCAATTCCATTTATTGTATAAATATCCGGCTTACCTATATACTGCACCCAATAGGGTCTCGACGGACGATTTAAATTTTTGAATAGCGCGTTTAACGAATGGATTTGATTTTCGACTTGAATTTAAAGGTTTAACGACTGGGTATTCGTATTCAAAGTTTACTAGTTGGTATCATGACCATTTTGTGTGTGGGTGCTTGATAGCTTATTCCTTGATGCTACATGTATGCCTGTGTGTATTCATTCATAGTGATCTCATTCATCTGTTTAATTCGTCCATGATTCCATTCTAATTTATTACTGCTTTTATTACGACTCGTATATTCGTCATATATCATCACTGTTGGTGCGCCCACTCTCTTGGTCTCCCGTGTCAATCATAAATATTTGTGTTCACTCTAAGGGAAGGAGTGGACCCACTGCCTGTATAGGTTTCCGCTACCTGTTCGCTGCCAATGTAGGGCATTTCTCACTGTAAGGCCGTCTCACTGTCACATTACGTATACACATGTATATGTACATACAACCTGCTCATCTCACTTCCATGAGATCCCCCTTTCTCTTTGACCCTATATATGTTTTATTGCTGAAGTGAAGTCAATGATGCTTTAGCAATATTCCAGCTATTCGCGGCTAGAAAAACAAAATCAGTTTCCTTTAGAAAAGAACATTATATACAAATTAAGATCACTAAAACTTCGGTCCCTTATCACAGCAAACAGTAAAAACTGACATTCAAAATTTAAAATCTACTTCCTTTCATACAGTTTAATTTCCTTCAAATATGCTGAAATTAAGTGATTAGAAACGGTATTGAAAAGTTCAAATAGTTTGAACCGTATAAAAACGTTGACGAATTAGTGCAAAATCCATACATTCCAACAAAAGATGCTTGATAGTCAAAGGACTATATAAAGGAATGAGCACAATCTGAATTTTATATATATAGTAATAATTAAGACTACTTTATGTCCGTTATTCAGTTATGGCCTGATGAGACTCGTACGTGGTACGAGTTGAAAGCGCTAGCCAATTAAAACTGTTAAATCAATCTTACTCCACTTATTCAATTATTACTATATTGTGCCTGAGAGTTAGAACTTTACTGTGCTTTATATATAAATATAGCCGAGATACTGAAACCCCTTCTGTTCATCAAGTATATATCACACATGGGGTTTCAGTATCCCGGCAACAATCGCACCTTGCAGTGTGCGCACCTACGTACAGGTGCGCCGGTTGTCGATGACTTACTCCAACCTGTACTAACAGGGAGTCTATATCACTCTTATCCCTGCCGTATTAAGAAACGTGTATACCCGAATTCAGTATATACCCGGCCACCCTATCACGCCATCCAGGTAATTTAACACCATAGCCCCCGAGGCTTAATAAGAAAAGGAGAAAAAATGAGCCTGTATGTCTCGCTCTCACTGTGATTGGATATTAATATAATTCTTTCAAATTTTCAAGCTGTCTATGAACGTTACTTTAAACTGACAAGGCAAATGATAAGTTGAGTATCACTTGATATATATCCGAAACAAGGACGCTAAATACAGAATGCTCTGGAGGACAACCAACACAATTACACATTACGAAAGACCCACATATGCTAATATATGTCGACATCTAAGTAGATATAGACTACGGAGTCGGAGTTCTACTTATCCGTGACCTTTGTTGCAGCGTATTCAGTCAAGTCATTAACGACATGACCACGTTGTTTGTTACTCTCAACGAAGTATTTTAGCAGGACAGTACAGATTTTTAGATGTGGCATATCATACTGTTTAATGCTAAGAAATAATTAAAAAAACACGTTAGACATATAATTATAATGCTGCATGTATGAATAAATACTCCCTCGCTCTGTAAGCAATAAGGGGGCACGGGTGGCCCAGTCGTCAAAGGCGCCGCGATGCGCTGTGCAGAGTTGCGTCCCTTGGGAACGCCAGAAACCTATGATTGTTGGTTCGAATCCCGGTTCGCCCCGATTATGTTTCTAGGGTTGTCAGCACCATACCCGTGCTCGTGGGTTTCACCGAAGTGGTAAACGTCTGAGACCTGCATCACTTCGGGCTTTCCTCCCACATCAAGCTGACACGCCGCGATATAACTGGAATACTGTTAAAAGCGACGTTAAACCCAACTCACTCCCTCACTGTAAGCAATAAAAGGGCGGCATCATTGCCAAGTACCGCGAAACACAAAACTGCACACGAATGCAACCGAGAATAACATCTCAAGTGGACGGTTGTCCATCGCGGGTATACATACCCATGAACATATTCATGGCAAAAGTCTGTGGTATTACTTACCAAGGCGTCTATAGCTGCGCGACACGTAATTCAATAGTTCTAATACTTTATGCATTTACTCTACCTACAAAGGCAAACATATCGGGGTTAATAAAAATCATATATGTGCCCTAGGGTCAAATCACGTCACGAGATAGCGGTGTATTGTTTCCGTCACGTGAATCTTATCTATTTATTATATCTCAAAGTGAGATTGACCAATCAGAGAGCAGAACTATTAACCCCTTATTAGCCCCTATACCTTCAGTAAAAATCCAAGATTGTTGTTACTGACCTAATATGAGACCGTAAACCGTCAGTAACAGCCATTTTGGATTTTCCAACACCCAACTCACATATTTCACATGGAAATTCATCATTCGACACTGTTTTGTGATGCGCAGGGACATTAACTTTTAAGGAAACCACGTTCGTGACTCTAATAATAAAACTTGTAGAAAAAACCCATAGGTCACTGATTTACAAATAGCAACGTCAGAGAACATAATGTAGGTTGACGTCACACACAAGAATCGTGACTCCTATGACGTCACATAGCAATAACTTAGACAGCAGCCGTCGAGAAGGAAAAGGGGACTGCTATCAAGTTACAGTTGATTTCTGTTAACATGCGGGCATTTTTATGATAATTCTATCCATTATAGCTATAATACATGTTTAAAAGTTCACATTAAGCGCATTATATGTTCCATTGTTAACGTTTGTGTTAACATTAAAGCGCTCGGAAACATATGTACTTGTT